GCGGTTGAGCAAGGGCCCCCTCTTTCCCCCAGGATTGCCTCGCCAAACGTGTGGACCGTGTACCTGGGCAAGGTGTGGCAAAATTCGCGCTGGCCCGGCGAGGTGTCCTTCAAAGTGAGCCGGGTGCTCCTGCACCCCTACCACGAAGACGACAGCCACGACTACGACGTGGCGCTGCTACAGCTCGACCACCCGGTGGTGCGCTCGACCACTGTGCGCCCCGTCTGCCTGCCCGCGCCCTCCCACTTCTTCGAGTCCGGCCTGCACTGCTGGATCACCGGCTGGGGCGCCCTGCGCGAGGGCGGTGAGTGACGGTGGGCAGAGCCGGTGCGGGTCTCCCCAACATCCGGTCCTGTGTGGGGCGGGGCCCCGCCACAAACTTCTGTCCCCAAATCCTGGGATCACATTGGGTTGGGTCTCACAGAAGTTGCTCTTTTCATTGGGCCTGTGTGCTCTGGTCCTCCTGGAAGGTCATTTAAGAGAGCCATTGTCACAGGACATCATCTTGGAGCATGTGCATGGGAGGAGGGGGCAGGCCAGTGTGCCCCCAGCTCTGCCCTCTCCTCAGCTCCTTGGACATTTGGGGAGGAGGGGAGGATCTTAATTGTGAGTGTTGGAACCGGGCTTATGATGTGGACTCAATGTCATCAGGTTCCCCCAAAACTCAATGCCAGTTTTCAATTTTCTGTAGCTTCTATCTGAACTTACATTTGAGCAGTTGGTGGTCCGTCCCCTGGTTAGCCCATGGCTTCGTGTTCGCTGATGATATTGAAGATCATGGCCCCATCTCATGGACAGGGAAACTGAGGCTCGGAGATGGTTAGCGATTGCCTGCACTCATACCGCTAGATTGGGTTGGAGCAGAGACTGAAACAGGGACTGCCTGACTCGAGACCCCTGCCCTTTCTGCTCTTCACTCTCAAAAGCGGGGGTGGTGGGGGGGGAGTGGGGGGCGCTCTCTCTCTTTCTGGCCCTTGAAGCCCCTTCTCAGTTCTCGTGGTAGAAAAGACCATGTCCCCAGGCCCATCGTAGTGGCGGCTTGAAAAATAAGAACGTGATTTATAACGTGGCGGCTGAGGAGGAGGTGCAGATAGTTTAAAGATGGGGCAATGGAGGCCTGGAGAGGGAAACTGCCTTCTTTCTGTCTTATCTACAAGGATGGCCATCGCCGTAGCAGAGCATGGTGCCAAAAGCCATGGCACTGGCATTTCAAATACCAGCAGGGTCACCCCGAGTATACTGGTTTCAGAGGGGCTTCTGGGCTAAGACAGATGAAGGGGGCTCTAGCAACCTACCGGGGGGGCAGGGGGAGGTGGCGGAGCAAAACAAGACACGTGCACATAAGAACTTATGAATCGCAGCAGAAGGTCCTCTGATACAGTGGTGGGAGATGGGTCCCCTCGGGCCAGAAGGGACTCAAAAGATGACCGGGGAAGAGATGCGTCCTCAAAGTGAGGTCGACCTGAATAAGGCCGATGAAGCAAAGCTTTTGAGACCTTCATTTGCTGATGTGACCTGGCTCAGAAGGAGAAGACGCAGCTGCCAGCATCCAGTCCATGAATAATCAGAACATGGAATGTTCAAAGTGTGAACCAGGAAAGTTGGAAGTTGTTAAACATGAAACAGAATGCCTAAAGACTGATACACGAGGCAGCGGTGAGCTGAAAGGAACCGGTACTGGCCACCTTCCATCAGCCATTAGATGGTTTACTGTGCACGGGATGGCAAACTGAAGAAGAGAGGTGCATTTTGTATTCACCATTGCCAAGCACTTTTCCAGGTCTATCCTGAAAGACAATGCCGTCAGTGAGAGGGTAATATCGGCAAACCTAGAAGAAAGACAGTAGATAGCACGACTATTCAAGCATATGCACCAGGCACTAACGCAGAAGAAGCAGCACATTCTTATCAACTTGTGCAGGCTGAAATGGATCACGCGTACGACGATTACTCGGCGATTACTCGGCATCGACTCCAGGACAGCGAGATTGGTTTTGCTCTGGCCAGAACACGCACATCTATCCTGGTGGAAGTACCGCCGGAAGTGAGGATGGTGAGACCTGGCCTCACGTCCTTGGGTCACGTAACTAGGAGAGGCTGATCCCCGGAAAGGGGCATCATACTAGGCTGGTCAACCAGAGGATCAGAGGGAACCAGAGGGTCTCAAGGAGAGGGACTTGGAGAATTGGGAGGATGGAGACACCGGGCTGGGCAGGGCTTCGCGCTGTCGCACCCAGACTTGCTGTGGATCAGATCCCACGTGACAGCACCTAACACCGAGAAGCCAAGCAGCGAGTTGGGCAGAAGGGATGTAAAGGTGAAAGGAGCCACATTCTTGGAAGAGACAGATAGTGCGAAGAGCGGAGATAGACCGGCAAAGGGGGAGCGGGGTGTACAAAGGAAACTCAGGGGAGGCCCCCACCCAGCTGGGGTCCAGAAGGGCTTCCTGGAGGAAGGTGTCTAAGCTGAGGCTTGAGAGATAAGTCAGCATTGACCAGGCAAAAGGGAAAGGTGTTCCCAGGAAAGGCACAGGTGCCAAGACAGGGAGACCTGGGCACCCCCAGAGCCATCAGGGCCTGGGGAGCAGCAGGTGTAGCTGGGTGGGGGCCAGTGGGAGGAAGCAGCAGACAAGAGCTTCGCAGGTTTCTGTAAGGAGCCTGGACCCTCTTCCCTGCCTGCCCCTTCAAACCAGAAAGCCATTGCCCCTGAGGTGACACTGGTTCATAGGGAGCCTAGGTAGGGGGGCTTCTGAGACTGGAACTCTTTACAGGGACAGACATCAGGCAGCTCGTGGGCTTCAGAAGCATCTAAGAAGTGTCAGGAGAAAGACCAATCCCAGGCCTCCCCACTGATAGAATAGATCCAGTCGTGGCAAGGGGACTGAACCCCACAGTACATTGGCGCTCCCATGGAGAAGCTCTGAGTCAGAGGGTGGGGAGTGAAGGAATCAGGTGTTTGTCTGAAAAGAACCCTGGGGGTGTGTGGAAGGAGGCTACCTGCCATTGGGGAGGAGGAAAAGGCTGAGCCCAGTCGGCTTGGTCTGGGGTGTTCTGGGCATGCGCCAAGCAAAGAAGGGGCCGGACAAAGGGGAGGTGAAAGGATGCAAGGAGAATGAGGGAGGGAGCAAGCGTGGACGGGGCTTTGGGCTGCTTTTCACCTCTGACCTCTGCCCCAACCCCACCCCGGGCAGGCCCCACTAGCAATGCTCTGCAGAAGGTGGACGTGCGGCTGATCCCCCAGGACCTGTGCAGTGAGGCCTACCGCTACCAGGTGACACCCCGCATGCTGTGCGCCGGCTACCGCAAGGGCCGGAAGGACGCCTGTCAGGTGACTGCGAGGGCAGGGCTAGTATAGTACCCGGGGTCCGGCCCCCTGCTCACTGGGGCCGCTCAGCCTTCCTGGAAGGTGGAGATGGCTGTCCCCACCTGAGAGATGAAGAAACCAAGGCTCAGACTGATTGAGGGAATTGCCCAAGGCTGCTGCAAAGAGCCTGTAGTGGGCAGGGCTGGGGCTCCAGCCTGGCTCTACTGACTGACCAACACACACCTGCCCATGGCCACAGCTAGAGAGGACTCGAGGGGGAGGGCCAAGAGAAGCATTCCAACATGTTTCCAGGAGAGTCCCCGCCTCACCAGGACCTGCTGGAGGGCCGCATGGTCGGCGTCTCAGCCAGGATTCTCCAGGGAATCACTCTACCGTGTATGTGTACACACAAGCAGGGAGTTTCAAAGAGTTTGTGGGAAAATTCCATTCTCTTTCAATTCTATCTGTCCATCATCTTTTTGAAGCCCCCCCTCCCCCCAACCGCTCCTTGGGAGAAAGACGGGGCTTCCTACTCCCATAAAGAGTTACAGTCTTGGAAGCTCATAGGGCCCGCTCTACCCTATAGGGCTGCTATGAGTTGGCATCGACTCATGGCTGAGTTTGGTTTTAGGTGTGTATATAGAAACAGGATCTCTCTAGACAGGGTTGGGGGGTGGTATTTTTTTTTTTTTTCAGATTTGTTTATTCATTTGGAAGCCCACGGTGTTTTCAATATTATTTTCCAGCACTGTAACTCAAATGCATCACTTCTTTGGTCTTGGGGGGTGGTATTTTAAAGAACGGCCTGACATGAGCCTGGGCTCATGGGAGGCTGGGAATTGGAGGTGTTTTACCTCCTTCAGGAAACCTGCTTTTGATCTTTAGGCCCTTGACCCCACATTGGGGAGGGTCATCCTCTCAGCTTACAGCAGCTGTTCTACAGATGTCACGGCACGGGCATGGCAGCCCGGCCAAGATGACATGACACCCATCATGCTGCGGGTGCAGGCTTCTCCCTGGTGGGCCCTGACGCAGCTGCCACTTCTCTCCTCAGGGTGACTCGGGCGGCCCCCTGGTGTGCAGGGAGCCCAGCGGGCGGTGGTTCCTGGCTGGGCTGGTCAGCTGGGGCTTGGGCTGTGGCCGCCCCAACTACTTCGGCGTCTACACCCGCATCACAGGTGTTGTTGGCTGGATACATCAGGTGCTGACTTGAGAGGCAGCCCCCTGGAAGAGCTGGGGCCCACCCCCGGGACCAGGCAGGGGAACAAGTATTCTGGGGGGCAAGCAACCCCCATCAGCTCCCTGATGTCTGCTCTTGGGAGAACATGAGGAGAGAGCGACCCACTGATGGCCAGGACTCAGCCCAGGGCGTGGATAGCAGGCCTGGCTGGGGGTTGCTTCCAGCCCCGTGTCTTCTCCCTCCACACCCCCAAAGTCTTCTGAGTCCCCTCCTCCCTCTCATCTGTCCACCTCTGTTCACCAAGTGGTGTCTCATAAGACCCCGGCTCTCATAAGCACTTCCAGCAGAGCTGACCAGAAAGGTGGGGCTGGGAGGTGTCCCAGAGGAAGGGGCCCTCAAGATAGCCCCACAGGCCAGCCGCCACCAACGCCAAAGGTCAGGACCCCATGTCCAGGGTCCTCGCCCCACCTCTACCTGTCCCCCCGAGTCTCTGCAGCCCAGGCTCACCTGAGGCCAGCTTGGCCATCCTGGGGAATAAAGTCACCTGACCAGAGGTCTTGCTGTGGTCTTGGATGGAACCCCCACCTGGCCTCTTCCCCTTGTGGTACCTGCCCCCACAACCTGCTTGATGGTGAGAGTCCTGTGGGCCAAGGTAGGCTCTGTGGAGGCAAGGGAGCCGCAAGGCTCAGAGTGGCTGGTGGTGGTAACGACATGGGCACGCAATGGACATCAGGTTCCAGTCTCTTGCTCAGCGGCAGTAGGAGGTGGTCTAGAACATTCGGCTGAACGTTCCCAGTGATTCACTAGGTGGGGTCGAAGTGAGGTTCAGGCTCCAGTCTCCCGAGAGAGGACGATGAAGGAACCTCCCCACACCACCAGTCCAGGAGGCTGACAGTAGCCAGGGGTGAAGTGGGCGGGGACGTGGCCAGGAAAGGGATCCGCCCCCGGAAGGGCGGGACCTCAGCAATCAGGGGCGTGGCCGGCCACAACCCTTTCTGGAAGTCCTACTATGGGGCAGAGGGTGGGGATAGAAGTGGGGCAGCCCGGGAAGATATCTTAGAGTGGACCCCACCTGGGAGTGAAGGGGTATCCAGATGAGTGGGCCAGCAGCCAGGAACTGGCCAGGGGGGGCAGGCTGGTGACAAGCTCACGGGTTAAACAGGACCCAGCCTAGGAATTAGCTTGGGCACGTGGCTAAAATGCAAGCTCCAAGGCCCTGTACTTACTGCTGTGTGGGGTCACCAAGTCTGTTCCGACTCATACGGACCCTTGTACAACCGAAGGCCTCACCGCCGGGTCCTGCGCAATCCTCCCAGCAGTTCTACTTGCGCCCGAGATGACAGCCACTGCGTCCACCGATCGCGTGGAGCACCTTCCTCTTCTTAGCTGCCATTTAACCTTACCCAGCACGAAGGCCCTCTCCAGGGACTGGCCTCTCCTGACTTCTCTGAAAGTCCAAGAGGCCCAAGTCTGCCCATCCTCCCTCGGGCGCATTCCCAGGCTGTCTAGTCGGAACCAATCAGAACCTGGAGGCGGGGCCAAGTGCTTAGCAGAGCCCTAGCTAAGGACTGGTTTGGCAGCCTGGGGCCCGCTACCCCAGGGTCACTGTGAACTCGGAATGGATTCCAAGGAGGTGGGTTTGGTTTCCTACGGGATAGGGTGGGAAGGGCTTATTCTCATAAGGAGCGCTTTCCCCTCCACTCCTGTGAGCATGGTGTCCTGGGGGGGAGACGGGCTTCAGACAGCTGAGCTGAGCACCGGGAGGCTGCCGTCCCTGTCACTGCTATGCAACGGCAGGAGATGTGGAGCAGAGCACTGAAGAGCCAGGCTGAGTGCGGGGAGGGGCTGGGGTCCAGGCAGGCAGGCAGGTAAGAGAAGCCCAGCGACTCTGAGTGGGTGTGGGCAGCCTGAGAGGCCCAAAGGTGAGGGGTGTCCAGGGAAGGTTCTAGCGCAGTGACTGACTATCTCAGCAGCTCAATGAGAGGGAGCCTCTGGGGAGGGCCAGGTCTCTCACTGATGGGGGTCATCCCAGCCTCCCCCCCGCCTACCCCCCTTGCTGAGCCAGCCACCGTCAAGGCTCCAGGAAGAGGGTACTGACAGCCAGAGTGGTGCAGGTGGTGACCAAAGGTCCCCGGCGAGATGGCGATCTCTCGGGCTGACCCTGGCAGACTGTTCCTTTCCTACCTGAGCCCGCAGAGTCTGCCCCCCACCCCAACACCCTGAAGCCACAGGATGGGCTCTTGGGGGTCCTGGGTCAGTCTGTGCCCTGTGAGCTGAGCCCAGAGAAAGAGGGCAGGCAGCCCGGCCATTCGTCAGGTTTTATTACAGGGCGGGGTCAGACACAGCTGAGAAGCAAGGACCCATGGTGGGGGGAGGGGAGGGTGTCGAGGGGCCCCGCCCCTCCCATGGACAGAGGGAGAAGTGGCTCCCTTTCCCACATGTCCCTGAGTACCTCCCTGGCTCTGTGGCTCCACTCCCCAACCATGGGGGTGGCGGGGACCCGAGGTAAAGGCCAAGCCACCTGCCCCCCAGACACTACCCACCCCACGCTCTTCATCCCCCAGCAGCATCTGCGCCTCTACAAGCAGTGTGTGGTGGGGTCAGGCGGTCTAGGAGGCCCCAGGGTAGGGTGAAGGGCCCGCCCCCCCAGTGCTCCATGCCCCAGAGACCCCCGACCCTCTCAACACCCCTGTGAGGTAGGTGGGCACAAGGAGTTCTCTGGCTGACAGACAGGGACACTAAGGCTCAAGGAGGTGACAAGGCTAGGCCCGGAGGGAGGGCATCCATCATGCAGCAGGGGGTCCTCCGGGAGGGGACCGAGGCGCTGGGGAGACACTGCTGGACAGCGCCACACCTGGGCCAACTCAGAGCTTGAGAGAGTCCCACAGACCCCCACAGGTGCAGACAGAAGTGGCAGAGGGGGTCACGTTTCCTCCGACTTGGGTCAGGGACCCACCCCGTGGTACAAAAAGCAAGGGTGTCAGATGGGAACCCCAAGTCCCTGGAAGTGATTGGAGGCCTCACATCCGGGTGCCTCTGGCTTGTAACAGCTAGAAAATAAGAGGGGGGAAGGGCAAGGGGCAGGGTGGTGGTGGTCAGAAAACGGGAAAGGGGGGTAGGGGGGAAAGGAGGGTAGAGAAAGGCCAGAGGAGGTTGAGGTGGGAGCAAGGAAGGTGGGAGAGCAAGGTTCAGGACAGAGGGGGAGAGAGAGCGCAGGTGAGTAGCAGGGCCCTTCTGGAGGAGGGTGTGGGGCTGAGGCCCACAAAGGGGGTGCAGGAAGGGGACCCCACATGGGCAGGGGCTTAGGGAGACCAGGTACGCTGCCAGATGGGCAAGAGACAGGAGAGGCGGAGGCCACAGAGAGTAGCTGCCCCTCCACATTTCAGAGGCAACGGAGTGGGAGAGTGAGGTGGCCCAGGCCACACGGCAGGCAGCTGAGATTGACTGGGGGTCAGGGGTGCCCGGCCAAGGTGTCTCTTGCCACATGCTGGGCCCCAGCTCCTCACAGTCCAGGAAATTCACCAGTAGACCTGTCCTCCCAGCCCAGAAGTGGCCCCAGTGGCCTGGGGCAGGGAGGCAGAGCATGTGGGACACAGAACAGAGCCGGCTAGGGTTCTGTAGTCTGTCTCTCCCGCCTCCCAGGGCCGGGCTATGGTGTCCCTGCAAGTGGGACAGTCCCCACCTGGCTCTCTCCTCTCAGAACCGCACACCCTGGGCCCAGGCGGGTGGAGAAACTAGCGGGGCAGGTGGAGCTGTCCAACTCGAGCCCCTCCAGCTCCCACACCCCCCTCCAGCTCCGCCAAGCTACAAACCAGGGACGGCGGCTCTGGGAGCGGGCGGGGGGCCCAGGAGAAGCCCTCCCGGCTAGCTCGGCCTCAGATCTCAGAGGGTATGGCCCAGCACCTGCAAGGAGGAACCATGAGGCAGCAGCTGGGGGGAGGGGGTGCAAGGGACAGGGGGCAGAAGTTGGGCCATCCTCAAGGGTGCCCAGTGGGGCTGGCAGGCCCCAAGGGGCAACCATTGCGCCCCTCCATGCCAGGCTGGGAGGCAAGAGGGGCCTGGAGGGGCACAGGGGGTGGCAGGCACAAGGGGTGTGGGGCCAGGGGGCCTGGGTGGAAGTGGCGGGTGGCGGGGCCCAGGGCAGCCCCAGGGTGCAGGCGGGAGCAGGCGGAGAGCAGACTGGGACAAGAGCAGAGAGGGAAGAGGCGGGGTGTAGATGAGATCCAGGAGGAAGAGGATGGAGATGAGGCAGGACCTCCGGCAGGAGGCGGTGGGAGGGAGGAAAGGGGAGCAGGGCTCCCAGATGACTGCACTGCAGAGAGAAGGTGAGAGAAGGCGAGTGAGAGGCGGTGGGATGGGAATGCAGCGTGGTGGGCGCTGAGCTAGCCCTGGTAGCCCGCCACCCCCCCCAGCAGTCCCAGGTCCCCAGGGCGGGTGCGGCAGCTGACTCCAGCGGGCGGGCTCCGGCTGTATTAGCAATCATTCTCCGCGGGGGTAGGCTGCACCTTTCTCCTGCGCCTCTGCCTCCACCTGCACCTGTTCCACCTCCACCTCCTCCACCTCCTC